GATTGGGCTCTCGGGCGAGATCCCAATTCGTCAGTCACTGACGTAACGTTGAACGTGACTGACTGAATGGGAACTCAAGTTACTATACTTACATATTGTGGTTATTATATCTTAACACTTTCATGTTTGGTATAATTTTGTGTGTCTCCGTGCGATTGGTTAAATGGTCTCAATTTCACAGCAGTCATTTATATTATGAGAAAGATTGAAAACTTTCTTTGCTGTTGACTATCTCCTGACTATCTCCCTCAGGGTCTGTGAAAATGTTTTCCCTTCTCCGGTCAGGTGTGCTTTTGGGTCATGAGATCCTAACAAACCAAAAGGTATTTTATGCTTTTACAACTGATTTGAAGATTTCTTTGTTCTGGTCTGGATATATAAGCAAAATGGCATTATAGTCATTTGGGATTCTGTAACGAGAAAACCCCCACACCGTGTGAGTCTCTGGAGCTCTGCACTAGAACTCTAAACATGCTGCTGTGTGTCTCTCTGCTGTCAGGTATGCATTTCTTTTGATTTTTCAAATGTGTAATTGTGTTAAACACATTGAGCTCATAGAGCACACTGTATAGTTGTTTGTGCTCCTACATGTGCACATAGACTAGTCAAATTTATTCTTTAAAACACATGATTGCTTTGCTTTGTGTTGTTTGAAATACTTAGGTAAAAGGTTGTAGATTCTATGCATTCGAGACCATGTGTCTTGTGTAAAATTTTAATAACTGTAACATTGGAATTATTCAGCAATTTCAATTTACATGTGTGACTATGTTGAATTTGTTTGTCTCCTACGTGGAAAACTTGGCTATTTCCCATATAGCTACAGTAATCCATGTACAGAAGCGTAGAATTTCCATGTGGTTACAGTGCGATTCACAATTGCATTATCCTTTCTGAACTGGCTTCTAATTGTTTAATTACTTAATTGCCATGATACATTTTACCTGACAAATAAATTATTATATTTGATTTATTCTGATCTCTTCTGAAATCATTATCTAGTAGATTAAAGTGCAGTCTGGTGTGTCCGCAAATCTGTGTCCAGGATAGATCATTCCGAAGTACCAATGAATGGAGCATGGGGCACATCATTAGGGTCCTTCCGCCTTCTGACTATCACTGATTTAGCAAGTTACAGTTTCGTGATTATAAAAAAACACTTTTTGTTATGTGCAAGCAGGGAGCGGCTGTAACGCAGAGGCAGTGGCATTAGGATCCATGTGCAGCTTTATTAGTTCACAAGGCAGGTCATACAGGCATAAATCGGTAACTGGCATCAGATACAACGAAGGCTGGGCAGAATCGTAAACAGAGTTTGTGATCAGGGTCGAGGCAGGCGGCAGACAAACAATAGCATAAATCCACGAGGCTGGCAGGGTCAGAATAGGTAGGCAGCAAGCAGTCGTCAACGGGTTAACAGTCCAGGTAATCAACAGATAATCAAACACAGGGAAAACGCTCAGAAATGTCTGCAAGGCAAAACAAGACTTCGCAATGAGAGCAGGGAAGGCACAGTTTAAATAGACCGGGCAATGGGAAACACCTGTGCAGGTGATTAGTCTCAGGCATGGGGCATTGCGGGAATTGAAGTCCGAAAGTATTGGTTAGTACTCCGGTGATGGTTCCCTCTGGTGGTGATCGGAGGGAGCCACAGAGGCTGAACTTGTGACAGAGCCCCTCCCCTGTGAGCGGCTCCTGACGCGCAGAGGCAGACGACGCCGGGGTCTTCCGCGGGGTCTTGGGGCAGGTCTATCCAGGTGGTCTCTGTGAAAATCTGTGGTAAGAGAGGGATCCAGAATATCTTCTACCGTTCCTCCGGACCGTACTCCTCCCAGTCCACTAAGTACTGGATCATTCTGCCCCGGCGACGAGAGTCTAGAATCTCCCGAACTCGGTACGCCTCCTCGCCGTCTATGGTGATGGGAGGAACCCTCTGGTCACCAGCCTCCTCCTGGTCCTCCACTCCTCTCGGACCACCAGAGGGCTTGAGCAAAGAGACATGAAAAGGGGGTGAGATACGATAATGGGCAGGCAAAGCCAAACGGAATGAAACAGGAGTTATTTGTCTGAGAATTTTGAATGGACCCACGTACCTGGGACTGAGCTTCTTGCAAGGTAACCGGAGACGAAGATCCCGATTGGACAACCAGACCCACTGACCCGGCTGATAGTTGGGATTGGTGTGCCGATGGCGATTAGCTTGCTCCCTTGTTCGATGAACTGCTCTTTGGAGATGAACATGAGCCTCATTCCATGTCTCCTCGCTTCATTGCAGCCATGAATTAATGGCCGGAAGTTCTGATGGTTTCCCGGACCATGGGAATAATGGGGGTTGGAAACCCAGGACACATTGGAAAGGGGTGATACCTGTTGCAGGTTTGCAGAGTGAATTCTGAGCATACTCGGCCCATAGTAAGTAGCGGCTCCAGTCGGTCTGATTACGATGGCAGTATGATCGGAGGAATCGAGTGAGTTCTTGATTGAGACGTTCCACCTGACCGTTGACTGTGGGTGATACCCAGAGGTGAGACTGACACTGATGTTCTGAGTTGTCGGCAAAAGGCTGACCAGACTCGGAAGATGAATTGAGGACCTCGATCAGAAACCACGTCCTCAGGAAGGCTGTAAAACCTGAACACGTAGTTGCAGAGGACCTTGGCTGTCTCAAGAGCAGTGGGTAGTTTGGGTAGAGGAATCAGGCGGCAGGCCTTGGAAAAGTGATCTATAACTGTGAGAATGGTAGTGTGACCCTGTGAGGCAGGCAGATCGGTTAGGAAGTCGATGGCTATGTGGGACCAGGGGGGTTGTGGGATTGGTAATGGTTGTAGGAGACCAGCAGGCAGTTGATGAGGGGATTTGGTTATGTTGCAAGTTGAACAGTCTATGATGAAGGCGATTGTGTCTGCTTGTAGAGTGGGCCACCAGAAGCGATTATTTACTAACTGAAGTGTAGCTGCTATACCTGGGTGTCCGGAGCTGGGAGTTGAGTGAACTAAATAAATGACTCTTTGTTGTAGGGTTTGCGGTACATATGTGAGATTAGGTGGGGTTTCGGCTGGTGGTGGTTCGGTGCCCTGAGCGTCTGTGATTTCAGTCATGATGTCCCATTGAATGGGTGCGAGAATGATGGTAGATGGAATGATGGATTCCTGACTGGGAGACAGTGTGGATGATTCGTAGAGTCAAGATAGGTTATCCGCCTTAGTGTTTTGAGAGCCTGGATGGTAGGTTATCGTGAAGTCGAATCTGGTGAAGAACAGTGACCATCTTGCCTGTCTGTGATTGAGTCTTTTGGCTGATTTCAGATATTCCAGATTGCGGTGATCGGTGAGTACAGTAAAGGGGTGTTTGGCTCCCTCGAGCCAGTGACGCTACTTCTCAAAGGCGACCTTCACGGCAAGAAATTCTCGGTTGTCCACATCGTAATTCTGTTCGGTGGGATTGAGTTTGCGGGAATAAAAGGCGCAGGGATATAATTTAGGCGGGTTACCATGTCGTTGAGAGAGAACTGCCCCAATGCCAGTGCTGGATGCGTCCACTTCCACAATGAACTCTCGTTCTGGGTCGGGATGGTACAAGATAGGTGCGGTTGTAAATCTCTCCTTGAGGGTTTGGAAGGCTGAATGGGCTGCTGAGGACCATTCGAGGCGTTGACTACCCTTCTTAATCATAGAAGTCATGGGAGCTGCCACTGTGCTGAAGTTACGAATTAATCTCAGATAGAAGTTGGCAAATCCTAGAAAGCATTGTAGTTCTTTTAAGGTGGCCGGTAGAGACCAGTTGACAACGGCTCGTACCTTCTTGTCATCCATGGCTACCCCTCCCAAACTGATCACGTACCCGAGGAATTATACTGTCTCCTGGTGAAACACACTTTTCGGCTTTGGCATATAGCTGGTGGTTGATGAGACATTGTAAGACCGCCCGGACATGCTTGACATGATCCTCGTATGAATCTGAGTAAATTAAGATGTCATCAATGTAAACAATGACCCATCGATTTAACATGTCTCTGAACACATCATTGATGAAGGCCTGGATCACTGCAGGACTGTTGGCAAGCCCGAACGGCATAACAAAATACTCGTAATGCCCAGTTGCTGTAGAGAACACAGTCTTCCATTCATCACCCTCACGGATGCGAATAAGGTTGTAAGCACTGCGAAGATCCAGTTTGGTGAAGTATCTTGCCTTTCGGAGCTGTTCCAGAGCTGCAGGGACTAGGGGCAAGGGGTAGCGAAACTTAATGGTAATGTCATTGAGTCCTCGTAATCAATGCAAGGACGAAGACCTCATCCTTCTTCTTGACAAAGAAGAACCCAGCAAAGGCAGGTGATGTGGATGGTCTAATAAAACCCTTAGAGAGTTCCTCCTCAATATAGGACTTCATAGCCTCAGTTTCAGGTTGAGATAAGGGGATAACCCTCCCCTTGGGAGGATGTGAACCAGGTTGGAGTTCGATGGCACAGTCACTCATTCTATGAGGAGGTAGTTGAGAAGCTTTTATCTTACTGAAGGCCTCCGTGAGATCGTGGTATTCTACAGGGAGCTGATATACAGGTGTGCAATCCCTCTCCTTTCTGACTGGAGTAGCGTTGAGACAATTCTGATGGCAGGACTCTGACCACTGTATAATCTGTCCTTCGGACCATGAGATAGAGGGGTTGTGCTTCTCTAGCCAAGGCAGTCCCAGAATGATAGGTGTTCTTGGAGATTGAAATACGAAGAGGCGGATAAGTTCGGTGTGAAGAGCTCCAGTGCATAATTGAAGGTCCTTGGTAGTGAATTGAATTTGGCCAGTGCCCAATGGTCGGCCATCTAGCGCTGCCACTGCCAAATGAGATACACAGGGAACAAGAGGAATATTATGAGTCTTAGCAAAACTAGCATCAATGAAATTTCCTGCAGCCCCTGAGTCAATCAAAGCCATAGCCTCAGTGATCTTCCCTTTAATCTTTAAGATGACTGGAATCTCTAAAGCAGTGGAAGAACTGAGGTTCAGACTCACCGGAGAAAGATTGCGAGGTGGACGAGTGGGAAAGGAAGATCTCATGTGTCCAGATAATCCGCAGTATAGGCACAGATTCTGGCGAATGCATCTCTCTCTCTCCTCTGAGATGAGTAAAGCCGATCTGCATGGGTTCTGTGTCAAGCGGTGGCGATGAGGTGCCGACTGGAGCCGAAGAGAGCCGAGTCTGACAACGAGAGCGAAGGAGGTTGTCAATCCGAATGGCCAGGTCAATGAATTGATTCAAGGATCTCCCCTCGTCTCGACAGGCTAATTCAGACCATGCTCAGACCTCTGCGGAAGTGTAGTTTGAGAGGATCCTCCGGCCACCCTGTTTGTGCAGCGAGAGTGCGGAACGAGAGAGCATAATCTGACGCCAAACCTCTTCCTTGGCGTAGAGATAACAGCTGCTCACCTGCCTCCTTTCCCTCAACAGGATGTTCGAACACTTCCTTAAACCGCTGGATGAAGACCGAGAAGGAAGGGAAGACAGTATGATTCTCACTCCACACCGCGCTAGCCCACTCCAACGCCCTTCCAGTGAGTAGCGAACAGACAAATGCGATGCGACAATCGTCTGTGGGATACAACATGGGTTGTTGGTGAACAAACTTGGAACATTGGAGTAAAAAACCCTTACATTTTGAGGGTGAGCCATCAAAGTTCTCGGGGAACGCTAAACGAGGGCTGGCGGTGGAGGTAGGTGAAGCCGGGGCTTGAAGCGGTGGATTCGGAAGAGGGGCGTGAGCTTCGGGTGCTTGCAGACGAAGGGCTTGCAAGGTCTTTACCATCTCCTCAGTTAGCGAGGTAAGTCAGTTTACTTGTTGTTGGTGTGTGGCCAGAACCGATGCTTGAGCAGATACCTCTGTGGTGAAGTGATAGAACACTGCTGGATCAATTTCGGGCGAAGTCTTCTGTAACGCAGAGGCAGTGGCGATAGGATCCATGTGCAGCTTTATTAGTTCACAAGGCAGGTCATACAGGCATAAATCGGTAACTGGCATCAGATACAATGAAGGCTGGTCAGAATCGCAAACAGAGTTCGTGATCAGGGTCGAGGCAGGCGGCAGACAAACAATAGCATAAACCCACGAGGCTGGCAGGGTCAGAATAGATAGGCAGCAAGTAGTCGTCAACGGGTAAACAGTCCAGGTAATCAACAGATAATCAAACACAGGGAAACCGCTCAGAAATGTCTGCAAGGCAAAACAAGACTTCGCAATGAGAGCAGGGAAGGCACAGTTTAAATAGACCGGGCAATGGGAAACACCTGTGCAGGTGATTAGTCTCAGGCATGGGGCATTGCGGGAATTGAAGTCCGAAAGGATCGGTTAGTACTCCGGTGATGGTTCCCTCTGGTGGTGATTGGAGGGAGCCACAGAGGCTGAACTCTGTTTCTGTTCTGGGACTCTTATTTTGAAGTTATTTTCATCCTATCTGAGTTCTACTTTCCTGTGTTTATTTTCTGTGTCCTTTGTTTCTTTGGTTCCTGAGTATGATCTCATTTGTTTCCATAGTTACTAATTAGTTTGTTTACCTTTATCATCTTGTGTGATTTATGATCAGTTATTGTCTATACATGTTTGCTAGCTGTGTTTTCTGTTTTTATTCTTCTTTGTATTTGTACCCTTTTGGATAATCTGCTTTGGTAATTTAAATAAATGCAAACTTGCTGGAATTGGAGCAAGTTATAGCCTTACATTTTCTTAAAGATAAAACCATAAGATGTATTCACTGATTGCTGAATTTACTTCAAATGTATTACTACAGTCAAAGGTTTTTTTTTAAGTCATCTGTGCTCCAGATTATAACCCCTATCAGACAAACAATAATATTGCTGTTTGTTTTGTTCTCCACACAGGCTACAGTTCTGTAATCTCACTGCTCAGTCCTGTAAGAGTTTGTCTTCAGCTCTACAATCATCAAACTCAGTCCTGAGAGAGCTGGACCTGAGTAACAATGACCTGCAGGATTCTGTAGTGAAGCTGCTTTCTGATGAACTGAAGAGTCCAGACTGTCAGCTGCAGACACTGAGGTAAATGGGTTTTGATCAAATAAATCAAAATGCTTAGTGTGATTATCAGATTGTAAAGCTTGTGATGTAATTTTCTGAACATACAGCGCATTTTCTGAACATACACACTATGTTTGTTCATTTACATGCAAGCGGCTCATGATCCAGTGTTTACACTGAGTTTACATATGTTTCGGAGCAGCTTGGTTCACAGTAAATGCTACTCCACATGAACTCAATCTCATGCAAGTGCTGTGATTTTGGGTCTCTTATAACATTGATGTGAAAATGCAACATACGTCAAACATCTTTCCAACCTTCTTTTATTTGATTGGCTTTCTCAATTATTGTGACCTTAACCAGCACAGATCAAAGTGATACAAGAACAAGAATTTATTGGACAAATAACACATTGGACACATAAACTAATCTAACACATTAACACATGCACTCACACATTCACACAAGTTGCAGGTGTAAGGATCCACCCAGATTGGCCCAAAGATGGAATCCAGTTGGTGGGCGAAGGTATAATGTGTGTAGGTTTTTTACTTGCGCGTCTGCAAAGTTCACTTAACCCTTTAGGCGCCAGGATTTTTTTGGAAAAATGCTGGATTTTGACATCAAGATTTCAAAAGCTTGTAGCTTAAAAGGGCTTAAAGATAGAGATCTAATGTAAATTAGAAAAATGTTGGGCATGACTGAAAGTTTATGTGGGATGTAAATATTCTCATCTAATTTGCATAGTATGACGTCATCAGGGGGCGGCCCTCCTGAATGTCATAATATTCAGGAAATAGTAGATACTGAATTGATGTTTGAACCTATTTGTTTTTTTTTTCTTTTTATCCTCATTCCAAATTATCAGAAAAGAGGAAACCAACAATAAAACAGGAGAAAGTACTAAATTATTACTATATTACTGTACTATATAGTAATAAAACGCATGTGAACAGTAGCCTACTTTTTGATCTGTTCATCAGTAATATTCAGGAAATAATAGATATTGCCCTGCCACCCCCATCCCCGTTGGGCAAAGGGTCGAAATCATCGAACACTCGCGCCTTGCACGGCGGCACCACTGCGCTGCAAAGATGCACCGGGAGAAGTGCGGTTATTAGAAGACCGATCATCATTTCCAAAAGGCAAATATTCCCCTTCAGAGTCAGAATCGGCGAATAACATTTGCAACACATCCTCACGGTACAACTTTTATTAGCCATTTGGCGATTTTCTCTCACAAATCTCACAGCTTACCCGCACGCTATGAACTGAACTGCTTCCGCATCAATGACACGAAAGCTCACTTGCTCTGCTATTTCCTCGAACACTTTGAATAGGAAGGTAACGTAATTTTGGTCTAGAATCGAAGTACTACATGTCTGCCATCTAGTGGTAGGGAATACAAATGAGATATTACACCATATTAGGAACTACAGTCTATTTGATTAAGTATGACGTCTTGTCGCAATTTTGCGACTTTGGCGCTAAGAGGGTTAATTTATCAGGATTTAGTTTCAATTTTAGTCTAGCGTTGTGTTCAATCTGACACCAATTTCAAGCAATCGTTAAATTTAGGCAATATTCCTAATTGAAAACCGATCACAAATATCGATTGTTTACTAATTTAGATATTTGATTAATCTGGAAATCTCATATTTTCAATTATTCGTTCATTAACAAACTGGTATCGCTTAGTAATTCACTTGGCCAACGTTGAACACATGGCACAAACTCACCAGTTCTGGTCTTACTCAGAGGATACAGGGTGATTAAATACATTTAAGTAGGCTGCACCCTGGTAGCAAATAACAAATAGTGTAATTTTTCTCTATAATCACGAAAACTTTAGTTTTTAGACAGTCAGAAATCAGAAGATCCCTAATGAAGAGCCCCCTGCTCTGCTCAATGGTACTTAAGTAGGATCCTGGATGCAGATTGTCACAGTGTTTGTTGTGGTGACCTGGACTGGTCACTTGAGGGCGCTCTTCTGTTTTACGTTGTTTGTGTTAAACTCCATTTCCCATAGTCCCCTGCTCACTAATCCTGGTCTGATCGGTAACACCTGTTCATCATTATCCCAGCTATATATATCATGCCTTCTCTGTCTGTCATTTGCGTCTTGATTGTATTGTCAGCATACATTTGCACTTGTATCCCTTCGCACTGTTGTGGGAGATCATTAATGTACAAACTAAATAATAAAGGGCCTAATATTGATCCTTGGGGTATGCCCATTGTACAGTTTAAGTTATTGGAGTGAACCCCTTTAATTTTTACACATTGCTGTCTATTTGATAAATATGATAAGATCCATGCTAAAGCCCCAGATGAAAATTGGAACACAGATAATTTAGAGAGATGAACGTTGTGATTAACCGTGTCGAAAGCTTTGTGCAAATCTAAAAATATGGCACCAACTGTTCCACCTTTGTCAAGTTTAGATTTTATTTGCTCTGTTAAATGTAAAGTAGCTGTTTCAGTAGAATGATTTACTCTGAAACCAAATTGCATACAGTGTAAACCAACCTGAGCTTTATTAAGATAAGATGTCAATTGTTCAAGAACTACCTTTTCTGCAACCTTTGAGACTATGGGCAATATGCTGATTGGTCTATAGTTACTTACCTCAAAGTGATCCCCAGATTTAAAAATAGGAGAAACAATGGCTTGCTTCCATGCAGTAGGAAAAACACTATATTCAAATGATAAATTAATTAAATGAGAGATAACATGAGCTAAAGTATCTTTATGAGTTTTAAGAAACTTAATATGAAATTGGTAAACATCCCTACATTTAGTATTTCTTAATGAGCTGATAACTTTGTTAACCTGTGTTTCATTAGTCATGGCTAGGTTAAAACCTTGGCTATCAACATCAGACGGTAGAATAATTCTTTCCATTTTTACTAATTTAATCGTTAACAGAATTAATCAAAAAATTATTAAAAACAGTAGCAATGGAATAATCATCTAGAATAAAAATTCCTTGAACTTTGATCTTGAGATCTCCTGGAGAATTTATCTACATCTGTAGAAGACTATTAACATTTTTCCAAATCAATTTACTGTTTACTTTTGTCACGTTCAATTGGTGAAGATAATAATTTGATTTAGCTACTCTCAGCTCTCGAATAACTTTATTCCGCAGTCCTTTATAACAAAGCCTGTCGATATACCTTCCTGTCTTAATAGCCATCTTTAATGCTGAGTCCCTGTTCTTCATCAGCTTCCATAAATTTTCACTGAACCAAGGTAGATTATTTTTATACCTATTTTTTTCTGAACTTTTATAGTAAATTTGTCCCTTACAGAGTTAGTCCTATTGATGAGTGTGTTACAGCCATACTCTACATCCTGAGAAGATAATATATCATCCCACTTTAAACTAGCTATTTCCTCATTGAACTCTACTAACTTTCCTTTAGGTATACAACAGAAAACATTATTAGAATTTGTCGCATTGTTTTTAAACCTATTTTTGGTCAGTTTCCGAGCAACCAAGGTTAAATTGTGATCAGATAACCCAGTGATCAAATTATAACTCTTGATTATCCTTTCAGGTTTGTTTGTGAATATTAGGTCTAACTGTGTCTTAGATGATTTAGCAATTCTTGTGGGTCCTTTAATTATCTGACTTAAAAGATATTTATCAGCAATAGTTTTAAGTTTTATTGAGCTACTCTAAGATACATGAAACTACACTACTAAACACACACACACACACACATACAGTTGTGAGGATGGGAGTTACTGAGTTTGAATGGATTCCCAAAAGTCTAGTATTTCCTACTTGTTCTTAAATTGCAACCTGAGAAAATCAAAAAGTAGAGATTTGGCTTATCTTTAGCTGCTTAAGATAGATTTAGCACCAGTCTCAGCAAGGAGAAGATTTTGTCTGTTACTTGTGTTCGCACTAAGGGCGGGTTTCCTTTTCTGGCTGAGGGAATCCTGGCTCTTCTGGTTGGTTGGCACTCAGTCCTTGGATGACGTCTTTTTGGGAAAACACTCATGATGAATGGATAGTTGCTGACCAGATAGAGCTTCGGCTTTGGCGGTTGCTTGGTTACGCAAGTGTGATGTGCTAGAAGTTCTTCTGAGAGTTGGAGTTTGCAAGACTTTGAAGATTTCTTCAGGGCCACGAAGCATCAGCTGGTGTTGAGCGAGTGAGAGCAAGTGGGAGCGCACTCAGACGGAAGGCAAAAGAGCGAAAGGCCCTGAATCTGTTCGGACATTGGGTTTTGAGCAAGCCGCATACGTCTGTCCCATGACGCGGTGTTCCAATCAGGTATTGCTGCAGGGCGGGGCCACGCCCCGTACTGTTCCTCTTCGTGCATAAATTAACATAATGCTCCATCTATCCCGCGGGGAGCATCTTGGTAAGTTTCGTTAATACTTCAATAAAGTGTTGTAATGCGAGTATGGTACCGAATACCAACATTTCATTCACATCAATGTTCTGCAAATATCGCGACCATTCGTTCAACACTAAACTTCACATATCTTACACACACATGGTACGTTGGTAAATGTTGGTAAATGTATTAAACACAGATTAAACTCCACCGATTACATAAAACACATCAAGCATATAAAGGGCCCTATTAAACACAGATTAAACTCCACCGATTACATAAAACACATCAAGCATATAAAGGGCCCTATTTTAATGATCTAAGCGCAAGGTCTAAAGCGCATGGTGCAGGTGCACTCAGGGCGTGTCCGAATCCACTTTTGCTAGTATAACGACGGGAAAACAGTCGGCGCGCATGGTCTAAACGGGTTATCCCTATTCTCTTAATGAGTAATGGGTGTTTTTTGGGCGTAACGTGCAATAAACCAATCAGAGTCTCATCTCCCATCCCCTTTAAAAGCCAGTTGCGCTCGCGCCATGACGAGTTCGCTATTTACATGGTGGAATGTAATTTTTCATTTTTAAAAATGTTTGTGTGCTGCTGCGCATCCCTGTGTGTATAATAAGCAAAGTGTACGCGTGTTGTGCACCTGCCTATAGGCGCATATTACTAATGCGCTCTTTAAATAACAAAGAAAAAATATTGTGCCAGACTTTAGACCTGGTTTGAGTTGGTCTATGGCGCAGTCTATTTTCAGTTCCTCAAAATAGCAACGCGCCAACAATGCGCTTGAACACACCAGCTTAGGCTATAGACCAGCATGCCCATGCGTGCACAAATGGGTGCAAATGCATTTGCTATTTAAACAACGCGGCGCAGGACGGGAAAATGAGAACTGCGTCGGGCTGAAACTAGCAAAAACACTTGCGCCGCATTGCACCGGGTGTATGATAGGGCCCAAAAAGGTTACACATTCACATTCGTGAATATAGTTGCCACTCTGTCCCAGCTCAGAGTGAGGATGTAAATATGTATTTTTTGATTATCAATGCATAGCTAGTCACAAGTAGCACTGAACATCTGTTCCTTGAATGGTTTCACTGTGGCAATATGGATATGGATCCATACCAGCTTTTGCACCCTGCCTGCAAATTAGGAGGTAATGGCGGAAATGATATAAAAGAGAGGCAAAACGGAAGTCTGGGAGTGAGCGGAAGGGAACAGATGTGACGAGAACGGTACATGCAGGCAAGTGTGGCTAAGTGTGTCGGATTATTTGCTTGCGCAGACCGGGTGTGAACGCCAAAACCTCCGAGAAAATTGGTTGTGCATTGGTCACCGGTTGCAACGTCATTCCAGACTGGTTCGCCTGCCACAGGTACTTCAGTTTCTTTTCCTCTGGGAAAAACCCGCCGAAGCTCCAACACTCTTTTCCCTGCCTTGTATAGGCTATTGATTGGCCGCTCAGACACTGCCTGTGCATGCAGGCGCTGCCCCACATGCATACACCCCCCCCCCCCCCCCCCCCGCCA